AGAACGTTAGGAGGGAGATCGTCCTCGATGTGGCTTACAACCTAGCAGTCTGCAGCATGTTCTTCGCAGAGTGAAGGTAACCTGAAGTAGGGGGGGGGGAAGAGGAATGATTAAGTACTCGTGAGAGGGTCCTCCCTCAAATTGACCTAGTTCTGATTGCTGCACCTGAAATGTCTCTGTGCCGCAGTTGATCAGACTGGTCAATCTGAGCAATGCTTGGTCTTTCCGAATCTCACGAGAAGCCCAGAGGTCAAGGAAGGGGAAACTTACCTGATTGAAAGACAGGCGGACTCTCTAAGGGCGCGGACCGACACGCAATCCGCAGCGAAGGATATGCTCCTAGCACCCTAGCATGGCCCTCCCGCGGCGCTATGGACACGCCACGCCCACCGACTGGCTACCCATTTTCCGGTCGGTCAAAAGTCTACGGACATTTAAGGTGAGGTTTACTTTTACAATCGCACATGGGATGAGTGCACAACTGGTTTCGGAGATCGTGACGGCTAGTTCAATTTACCTGTCTATTTTATAGTAGCCGTGCTAAACTACATTGCTACGAATACAGAAGTTTCAGGGGTCTCACTGGCTTGGACTTGAGAAGGTCTATCATTTGGCCCCCATAACTAGAGACAGTTGGATCCTGCGTATTGAATTAAACGGTGATTATTGCGATGGTCATGGCTGTAGTGGTCAAAGTGATGGTTATTGGTGGGCAGAGTGGCCGTTCAAGGTTAGCGATCTCGTAGGATACTTGTCGAGTTTTCTTTCTGTATATAATCCAATATTTTCCAGCTTGGTGACGCCTCGCAACTTTATCTGCTCGAAATATGCAAAGTGATCGGTGGTAATCTAACAGATGAAAATTCAGAAGATTTCTTGCAACGCAACAATGGTCATCCATTCACAACCATCGATAGGGATAACGATGATGCCGGCGTGAATTGTGCTAAATTCCGAAATCATGGGTTTGTTGTTGTCTTGCTGTTTTTTTGGCTTGGTGTTTCTCAACCGCAGGGGGCGTTCGCCGCCGGAAAGGCATCATTCTGCGATTCTTCACCTCCTTATGACTCTTTAACATTATCCTAGTGTAATTAGACATGAGATTTTGAAAAATGTCCTGTGCACTGCTCGGCATTCGTCACCATGGCGCTTGTGTGGGGTGTAAGCTTATGTGGTGGTGGCTGTTTGCAAGTTGAGTGTTGTAAGACATCCTGGGACAGTCTGTTTGGAGTGGCTGTGCAGACCTTAACCTTCTACATTATGTTACAATTTTTGAAATGAAGACTTTGGATTCTTCACAAGAAAGTTTGAAGGTGTGCTCTTGTCGCTTTGAAGGGAACGAAACTGTCAGTGAGTAGTATGTTTTGAAAGTAAACAGTGAATATCCGCGCGCGCTGTATTCGCGCAACTAATTAGTCGAGCCGTCCAATCCGCCCATTTTCTGCTGTAATCTGTGCTCAAAATTTTTGACGAAGTTCCTCCTGTAAACTCACCTCTGAGATCTTTTCCGCTGCTGAAAATACTTGATAGTGAACTGCGAATTTCGAGGAATCCTTCATGCTAGCCAAGTTTGGTTTGAACGGCTTTGAGGAATACCGGAAATTTTGGCATGCGTACACCACGATGTATACTCTTGGCACATACCCGTCACCGCATTGGTCAACTGTTTTCGAAATGGTCGTTGCTTTTCGATCCGTTTTATCCTGTAACATCTAAAAGGTAGAGAATGCGTTGGACAAAATCAAACCCCAAACTTTCTTCATGTGTTGAAAACCGCTGTGCGCTCGCTTATACTCATCTTTTCATAATTTTTCATTGACAGTAATTAATTTAACATCACTTTATCATTGAATGGAATACACGATCTCATATATCCGATAATGGATACAGACTGTTTTGGAACATGCACTAATTGCACTAACAATACTAATTAAGCGAGTGTTCTCCTTGTGAGTGACTTACGTATGTGCCCCGTACTGCTGTGAATTGTTAGCAACATACGACCGCCCGCCATCACTCCGCTTGATGACCCGAATCAGTTTTTGTTTTTACAGTGGATGGTGGCATGAAAAGTGCGGCGGTGTTGCTTTGAATGGAGTGTACGGCGACGTGACACCGATCCATCGTTATATGGTGTACGCATATCAGAGTCTGGCAACTGGCTACAGTAGAAAGGTTATTCATCCGAAGGAATCTGTGATGATGATCAAACCTAAATTATCAACCTAATAATGTTCTGTTTTTAATAGGTTTCGGCTGTTTGGTGTTCTATTGTTATCACCCAAGTTGTTTATACAGTTTCCTTTTCTGAAACGAGTTACGAGGCAGCTAGGCTGCCATGTTGCGGGTATCTGCAATTTTGGATGCTTTTTTGTAAAACTCGGCATAGCTGAGCTCACTGTTTTTGACAGACGAAAAGTTTAGAGCCTTAATTAGATTAAAGCTCTGCGTGATGTGGTGAAACTGTTTCCAGTGACTTCTCATAAAAGCTTCTGTAAAGTTATGATCTTCTATTTCAGTTATTGTTCCTTCGATTCTTCTGTTGTTTTCTTCATGAGTTTCTGACTGATTATTCGGACCGCTAGCAAATATCGAGTGCTTGGCGATTAGTGGTAATATAAATTCAAACTTATGAAATACATTCAGCCTCACGAAACGACCAATGCTCGAAACGTCTAGGCCCGCTTAAATAAAAGTTATCCACGACCACATGAAAGCGTACAAAAACTATCACACAATATAGCTATCTTTACTATTTTGTGAATCAATTAAGGATTTATTTGAAATACTTTGTGTAGATGTATATGCTGATAATCATTGCTTTCAAACGATTACCCTTTATAGAATCCCCTCTTGTTCCAAAGCAAACACGTTACTTGTAAAAGCACTAACGAGGGAGGTCGTGTTCAGGGCGTGGAACGCTTTCTCAAAATGGTTTTTCCTATGATATAGAGGCATGTGCCTGAAATACAGAACTGTGGTCCATTTCCGCTAAATGGCCCACTGAACGCCAAAAAAAGGGTGGGAAAGTGGTCCTTGGTTCGATTCCCCGCGGTGACAAAATTTTTGCACTGTGATTTGACGCCACAAAATTGGCACCGAAGAACGCCAACACCAGCAATTGATGTCATAATTACAATTAGGCTTACAAAAACCCTTACAAGTGGGCTTTTACCAAAAACTGGTGAGAGAAAGTTGTGACGCAAAAACTTCACCAAGGTGCCGTCGAAGAACGTCATAGGGGCCCGAAATGATGTCGGAGCTGGAAACGAATATTGGATTCGTGATCAGGGCACCTGATAACCCTTCTAGTCGATGTTTCTAAGAAAATCAAGATTTTGGCCCGACTTCGAAAATTTGCTAGATGGATAAGTAAACTCTGTGGCACGTAAAGCTCGACGGTGAACTTCTTGGAAATGACATCATACATATAGTATTCAAAGATGAGACATGCTCTCCGAATAGACTATAGCAGACAAGCAAGCTGGTGTTGGTCGGAGGGTCACCACAGTGCAGTAGTTTTCTGCCAGTTTTCCGTGCGGAGCTCGCCTCCGAGCGAGTGGGAATACTTGAAGATTTACTTATGTCAAGTTTTCAAAGTTAGGCCAAAGATGCCAAAGATGATTTTCTTCGAAACGTTTTTTATGATTGGTAATTGGGCTGGTGCTTTTGTCACGAATGTGGCATTGTTTTTTGGAGCCGCCGCTATCCGGCGAAATTCCAACGGTACAACTTTTTTTTGCCTGCTTTCGGTGAAAACTTGCCTAATCTGGGTTATCAATAGTTCTGGTCTTTAGTAACACATCCATTTTGACACCTGTGCTATTTGGAGAAAATCGTGAAGTGCCTACAAAGAATGCAAAAAGCCCGACGCCTCGGGGATCCGAACCACCAACCCAGACCAAGCGTGCCAATCGAAATCCGCATCGCTAACCACTACACCACCGACGCTGCTGGAGGATGTTGGCCAAATGCTCTTATGGAACTTCCACACGCTCTTTAGTACACAGCATGACATCACCACGACAACTTTCCAATTTTGACCAAACTTCTCGATGTTTTCGAGACACACCTTACGAAGACCCTCCATTACGCAAGTAGTCCACGCCATGAATGAAACACACCACTTTTAACAAGTAAAAACTGCAGTTTCCAACAAAATGATTCTCACTCCTTTTTTGGCATTCAGAAGGCCATTTAGCGGAAATGGACCATAGATCTGTGTTCACTGCACCTGCCCCTATTTCATGCAAAAAACCGTTTTCAAAAAGCGCTCCACGCCCTGAACGACCTCCCCTCGTAAGATTTGATATAATGCGATAAACCTAGCATTATAGTATGTGATTTCAATCTCCCTGAATTTTGTCTTCAAAAGACGAACCCTTCTAAATCGTCTATGTTTTTGTTTGGAAGAGTTGGGTGAATCTCATAACCTTATGCAGCATGTAAAAGAATTCATCAGACGGTAGTATATTGGCAGTTTGTTTTTCTCTAACGTTTATTACCTAATTTAAACATGTGAAAAGTAGGGTGTCTCAAGAGAGGAATGTACTATTCGCCATTACTTTTCAAACAAGAGTCACAGTGAACTATACATAAGTCATTTTCACCAAAATATTCAGTTCCGGCAACAACAAGAATTTACGAAGGATACAACACAAACACACATAAATAAAGCACACTATGGACGGCAGAGTAGGGGGTGCTTTGTCGAAGTCCGAAAATACTGCGACGAAAAGGTCCCACTAGCCCTACTCTCCATTTGGCGGTCCCACTTGACTACCTTGGTGCGCCAGAAATGCCTGAAAATCATGCGCGGAGGGAAGGAAATATGTGCGTGTGAGAAACGTTAGGAGGGAGATCGTCCTCGATGTGGCTGCGGCTTACAACCTAGCAGTCTGCAGCATGTTCTTCGCAGAGTGAAGGTAACCTGAAGTAGGGGGGGGGGAAGAGGAATGATTAAGTACTCGTGAGAGGGTCCTCCCTCAAATTGACCTAGTTCTGATTGCTGCACCTGAAATGTCTCTGTGCCGCAGTTGATCAGACTGGTCAATCTGAGCAATGCTTGGTCTTTCCGAATCTCACGAGAAGCCCAGAGGTCAAGGAAGGGGAAAACTGTACGATTTAATCATGAAATGGCCTGGTACATCCTCACTTACTCCTGATTTTTATACCATTCTTTGTTGTTCAGAAAACGGCTGATGTTATTTGCGGTCCTCTGGCATACATATTCAATCAGTCACTCACATTTGGTGAAATACCTTCGAGATGGAAGCATTCTTTCGTCACACCTATACTGAAAAAAGAGCCTTCATGGCACCCAGAAAACTACCGCCCTGTAAGCATCACATCCCTATTCTGTAGACTCTTTGAGAAGGTTTTAAAAAATCACATTAATCATCATCTACTGATAAATAACGTTATTTCAAAGCATCAGCACGGTTTTTTTCCAGGCCGTTCGGTTGAAACAAATATGATTGAATGCTTGAATGACTGGACCGAAACTCTAGATAATAAGCACCGTTGTGACGTCATTTACTTTGACTTCGCAAAGGCGTTTGACAGAGTTTCACACAAAAAATTGATATATAAGCTAGAGATCCTTGGTTTTCACCCGGTTATAATCAAATGGATTTCGACTTATCTGAAAGGTAGAACGTTCCAGGTTAAAATTGATGGTTCATTTTCTGACATTAAACATGTGAAAAGTGGGGTGCCTCAAGGAGGTGTACTATCACCGATACTGTTTAATATTTTCACAGCCGAACTTCCTTTTATGCTCCAGGAAGCAGGCGTCACTGCAAAGGTTTATGCTGATGACTTGAAAATCTATAAGCCTATACTGAGCATCGGTGATTTTCATAGTATGCAGAAGGCAGTCGATGCAACAGTACGCTGGTCTGAAGAATGGCAACTACCCATGTCTCCACATAAAACGGTGTACATGCAGTTAGCTGTCGGCATTCCACCCTCAGTGAACTCATACACTGTTAATGGGATTCCCCTCTCTGCTGTACAGTCAGTCAGAGACTTAGGTTTTCACTACAACGATAAATTAGATTTCTCGGAGCATATAAAAAGAAGGGTTCAAGCAGCCCATTTACGTACATTTCAAATTTTCAAAGGGTTATCTTTGGCCAATCAAAAAGCATTACTACGTGCATACAAGTCTTACGTAAGGCCATTAGTTGAGTCCAGCACTACAGTATTCAACCCCTTCAAAAAGAAACACATCTACGCAATTGAAAAAGTTCAAAATAATTTTACACGTAAACTATTCATTAGAATGGGAGGTTTCCAGTACTATAATATACCGAACGCGGCTACCAGGAATAATAGTCTCAAACTGACATCTCTTGAATGGAGGCGCAGAGTGTTTGACCTATGTTTTGTTCATAAACTGGTACAGAATTATTATGTGTCTGGATTTTCCAATGTCTTCAAAATGTCATATTCGAGAACTAGAGGTGGATCCATGAAAATATCATTAACGCGACCCAAGAGTAATGTGCGTGCTAAGAACTTCACATATAGAGCCGGTAGTGATTATTTGAATATAGCGAAAAATATACCCGCTTCTTTAACACAAGCACAATTCAAGCGACGAATATCTAATATATTACTCAGAACTAGAGGTTCATAGCATTTTTTGAGACTGATTACCAAAGCTCGTTGTTCTTAAAAATATTAAAGCGTTAACGTGGTCTCTTTCTTCCACCAATATCAGGAGACCACATGGTATGTCTTACTTGCTACTAGTCAACGCTAAAGTGTGGTAGCGGATTTCTCCGCACAAACGGTGGAACCAGGGTGAGTTTATTTCTCATATTGCTCGGGATTCTCTTTGTGGTTCTTAGCATACAGCGATTTCACCCATTGAGAAAGCTAACATACTAGCGGACCATTTCGTGAGTGTTTTCCAAGAAGACGATGGAAATATCCCTAAATATGTTCATCCCATAACTAATGCAATGAGGGATTTTCCATGGTTTACAGCTTCCATGTAATCCGGTCACTGTTTATCGTCTTGGAAAGCCCTTAAATGGCAAAAGTAGACTGTTGAAAGTTTTGTTACCGTCTTGTTTTTTTCAGCGGATGGCGTTAAAACGAGCACCGCGTCTTCGCCACTTTCCTGAACCGGGTGTGTATCTTAGGGAATCCCTAACCCCAGAACAGAGAAGGCGTAGACGGGAAGAAAGAAGTCATTTAATTAGAAACCGTGTAGAGGC